AAATGGTTCACACAACACCAAATACACTTGGAATAACTTGAGAGAATTCTACACTTCATGAAATCGGCTAGCCCTTTCTTTCACTCACTAGTGGCCGATTTTCCTCAAGAATAAGATGCTTATATAGTTATACAATTAGAGTAAACTCTAATTGTCATGACTTTCCATTTCCTTGGATCCATGGGTTCAAATACACCATGGAGCATCCATGGATCATCCTATGGGTTTTAGCCAAAATTGATTATCCATGGAGCATTAGCCCACTATACAAGTATGGATGATTTACACAATCATCCCATATATTTAATTAGTCTTCTTTTGATCACTTAATTAATCCTAGATTAATTCTTGATCAATACTAATTAAATAGTCTCATTATTCTTATTATTAATATACTAGAACTTATAATATATTACTAACCATAAGTGTCTTATTTCTCTCATTTAGTCTATCCAAGTGCATGATGCCATGCAACCCAAATGGACCATGCCGGGTCGGGTCAAGTCTTACAAATTATAGTTATGGACTTAGACATTAATCCAACAGAATTCACGTGGGAACGCGAAGATCAAATGAAGCAAAAGTACCCTCACCTATTCTAGCATTCTCAAATCTAGCTTTCAAACAGAATTTTGGGATGAAATTCCCTCTAACGGGGGGATGATGTCATAACTGGAAATTTTGTGCCTTGTAACTACAACACTTAAGTAAAAATTTTGAATCAAAAACTTAAGAGCATGCATTATTCTTACTTTATGACAGCAAAAATCTCAATCAAATACACCATACAAGCATTACAAATAGTCAACAAGTAATTGGAAACCCTAGAAGTTCTTGTTTAGGTCCATTTTGGACTAGGACTTTCTTATTGGGCCTAATGGACCAATAAGCTTCCAATTTGACTATCTCGGGCTTAGAACCCTTAAATGGGCTCTAATTGGACCCACTTCCATGTATATCAACATTTTGGGCCATATTGGGCCTAGAATGAAATAAATCAAATATTATGAACTATTTTGGACCATAATTAACCTAATCTAGCCTAATAAAGCATAAAAATCACATTTATATTTTTATAGGGCCAACAATCATTCAACCTAACTATAATATGGGCTTAGGGGCAAAAAGCCTAAAAAATCTCCTCCTTCCCCTCTCCATACTCGGCCCAAAACCACAAAGAATAAGGGTTGACTTTGTTGGGTTGCCACCTCTCTTTTGCACCAAGGATTTCCATGCAACACACATACTTCCATGCAACTATCTTGTCAAACCTCTCTCTTCTTCCCTCTCTTCTTGCTCTCGGCCAATTTCAAGCACACACACACACACATTTCACTCATTTTTTCTATCAAGAAACTCTCTCATTTCTCCTCTAAAATTTCGAGATCTAAGGAGCTTTCAAAAAGATATCTCCACAAATTCTTCACCTAAGGTAAGATCAAGTTTGGATCTATGATTTAGGTACTTTGTTTTATCAAAAATCTCCTTCTAATCCATGTAAAAATCTTGATGACTCTCCTAGAAACTCTCGAAGTTCGAGATCTTCCAAGGAGAGGTACTAAGGCCAAATTTTCTTCTCACTTCTTCTAAAAGCCGAAACCACACCCAAAGGTGAGCTTCATACCCCCTATTTTTCGGTTTTACAAGTTTTGTGGGGGGAATACAAGAAAATGTGTAGATCTATGAGTATATGTATGCTTTGTGTGATTTCTATGTGTATGTATATGTTCTTATGTGATTGTGGTGTTAGATCTAGTCAAAAAGTCCTTAAAACCGAGAATTACATTAGGTTGTATGAAACTAGTATAAATTATATTATTACATACAAATCATTTCTAGAAAAATAACCAAGTTGGTTAATATGAACATCTTTGGGCTAAAAACCCATTTTTGGACTCAACATGTTAAAAATATAAAATTAAAGGGCCCAAAATGACAAAATACAAATTCTGATGGTTGAAATGAGTCAAAACAGTTTCAACAATGTATTTTCTGGAAATATACCCTTTTGAAGGATTAAAATGTGAAATTTTAAGCTTAATGGGCCAAAAGTGAACTTTTCGGCCAAATAAATCCCAATTTAGAGATTTTCAAATTAGAGGGGCTGAAACTGTACTTTTCTGTAAAACAGGGGACTACTAGTGCTCCAAGTCCATTTCAAGGGTTAAAAATACTTTCCATATTTAAAAGGGACCAAAGATGCAAAAAATTTCTATTTTGGGCCAAACGTGTAAAAACTGCGAAAATAGAGGTTTCAGCCGAGAAAACTTCATTTTGGAGGGACTAAAATTGTTTTTCAAATAAATTTGAGCTGAAAAATACCTTTTCAATAAGTTTTGATACTAAAGTGTCAAGAAAAATGGTTTAAGGAGTAAAATAGAAATTCTTTTATACAAAGGGTCAAAATTGTAAATTTATTCAAAAGAAAGGGGCTGCAAAAAGAAAAATTCTAATGTTTTAAACAATAAATCCGTTATGATGAAATACTAGTACCACGACTACCGGCGAAATATAATACACCTTCAACACCAAAATCGTTATCAAACGAATTGATTCGGTCTCGAATCAATAACGAATCAAAAATTAATACACGACGATACTTTAATGCACACGCGGAAATTTCGGGAAGTCAATACACACGTGGGAATTCACCAGACGTCGATACACCATCACTGGGCTCGAAAGTTTCAAATTGTGCTTGTTGGGCCTTGCTAGTCCAATGACATGATCTTTAGGCCCGAAGGAAACTCACTTACATGACATTGGGTCTTATATGACCTAATTCCGTGTAAATGGACTTTCAATGGCTTTTGTGTTTTTGGGCCCCTAGGGTCCTTTTCTACTGCTAGCAAAGTCGAGTATTCACAAATGCGAGTCGGGCCAAGGGCCCTTCGCATTCACGATAGCCTTGAACAACCTATGCAAATATCGGGGGGTGGGGGGGGGGGGTCTTCGCACCCTCTTTTCTCCTCGGTTGTGGGGCTATGAGAAGTCGGGGTGGTTGGATTAAGTGAATAATACGGACGACGCCTAAGGGATCGTTTGTATAGTTGTATACTAGTCGTTTTCATTAATGCGTGTTTATAACAATTCATAATCCATAATTAATCCAATGTCACCTGGAATTATCGAATACACACGTCGCAACGGTATAACAAAATATAAAACGCGTAATTCAAAGTATTAGGAAAACATCGGGTTTTCCTAGGGTTTTCAATTCATACACCTACAAGATGCATACCAAGTCTAACAATTTTTTTTACATTTATAGAAACAAACAAGCATACTTACGGATCTCCACACTTTTTATACGATACTCTTTTAAGAAAATATTGGATTTTTTGGTGGTTTTCAAAACAATACAAAACATTATATTTCAAACATTACTTATGAACTCACTAACATTTCATATGTTGACGTTTTTCAAAATACTTGTATTCTCAGGTAACAGGTAAATCGAAGGGAAAAATGTACTCAGTGATGTCTTGTTGTTTGTTTAACTAGTATCGAACAATCTACTTTTAGGAATGTAATGTTTTGAAATAATGTACTAAATGTAAACACTACGAGTTGTACTATTTCAATGCATGGTGATGAATGATGTTATGTTTCATGTATATTCACTGTGATGGTATTTAATTGAGTCACAACAGCCCTCGGACGTTTCCGCCATCTGGTTCGCGGGTGTGACACTCCACCTCTGCCTCCGCCTCCAATGCCCACCCTTACCTGTATCAACGACCAACATGGTCTAGGATTCGTTTTGGTCGATCATCTGAACTCCAATGAAGGTGCGGTCTCTTCTCCTTCATCCATACGTCTGTAGAAGACCACTCATACATTGACCTGCCATTCTCTTCGTCGGAGATCCTCCAGCCTCCCTCTCGTATCTATCAACCATCGATAATTCATCATTAATCGAAAAAAATCGATTAAGCTCATGGATCGCAGATACCAACCGCCTCCATCTTATCCGATCGCCTCCATCTGCAAATCAGAATCGATTTCTCACCTTTTGTTTCGATTTGAATTCTCTGGTTGATCTCTTTCCTCTAAATTAATCTAGTTTGGTGAATTTGTAATGCATTACAACGATTAGAAGCAATCGTATAAGGTTTGTCTTTTAATCCTCAATTAGAATCTAATGCCTCATGTTGATTGTGTTTCTTGAAGCTATTTTGAAATTGTTGATTAACTTTTGATTACTTATTTATGATTTATTAATGGATCTTTGTAATTTTGATTACCTGTATTCCTTTGCTATTACATAAATCTCCATCTTCATCGCATTCCAGAACTCACCACACCGATGGCGATGTCCATCCGAAATCCATAACCAGAGTCTGAAATCCACCGTCTCCTCCATCAATTATCTCCTTATTCATTGCATCAAGTAAGGTGAAGACTTTGTGCAGATCGTTAAAATGCAAGATCCTTCGAATCTGAATTCTTAGCCACAAAATGTGGTGGCGTTTCCGTTTAGGTCGTGTCATCATCCACTCCGTCTCCAGTAAGTTCATTCTCATGTGCAATTTCTTTGTTGCTCATTACTCAGATTTAGCATTTCATGTTCACTACAGTGAACAACTAGGTTTAATTATAAAAAGAAAAAAGAAGGAAAACAATGCTTTTAAATATTAGTGCTCGATCAAAGTTCAGTGGATCATTCACCCGAGTTACTATGGTAAAAGCTTTTCATTTAGCCGTGGATCCATTCAGATATTCATTACTAACTTCATCAATTGGCTTTATATATAGGATGGTTCCAAAGTTTTAGTTAAAGGAAATGCTTGTTCTCATTCTCATGATTCATTGCTTAAAGGTCATAAAAACCAACGTGATTCATCAAAAAAGATGCCATAGGAGAGTGGAAGAATGCCAACAACAAACAAGACTATCTGTTGTTATCCGTAGTGTCATTACTCATTACTAATCAGTCCATATGTATTCTCAATAGTGTTAATGCAGTCAATTCGTGAGGATAGTGAGAAAGAACACCATGCTATTGAAAACTTCGATGTTGTTATATTCTTTTAGGTTGCTGAATTTATTATGTCTTCCCATAATCACAAGTTACTTGCTAGATGTGGGATTTGTTTTACTATTTTTGGCACCATTTGTCAGCAAATGGGTCCCCTTTTACTACACCAGTTCCATGGCTGTTGGATTTCTAGCTGTTGTTCTCATATTACTCTATCAGGTATGTCTCTCTTTCTTACCAGTAGACTAAAGAAAAGGAAATATATTTTCTTTTGTTGTGTAATGACATTTTAGTAATATCTTTAATTGTTTTCTAAATATATTATCTTTATTGTTGACCAGGCAAGGAAATTGTTGCCAACTGGCAGGAGAAATGCATTTTACCTTGGTATAATGTCCATAGTAGTAAGTTTTTGCTCCCTTACAGTTCATCTATGTTGATAGCAATAACTCATATACAAGATTTGAGACACCAAGTATCTTTTGTGGTTTCTAAAATGTTTTGTTTTTTGCTTTGTATTCTGTAATCTTTCCAGCTTGGAGCAGGATCTTTTGTGGTGCATAGCCTCTCAGCATTTTTGGATTCATTTCTCCAAAACTTTGGGATAAGTCAAGAAGTCCAGAACCCAGTAAGTCCCTCATTTTTACACTATTGGTTACTCTACGATTTAGAATTATAATCTATTGATCTTACAAAAAGTTCATTTAACCTTGTAGGTTTCTGTTTTTGTGGTGCTTGGAATCATTTTGTTAGGATCTGGTTTTGGATATTGGATGGTGAGGAAATATATTATTTCTAAAGATGGAGAACTTGATGTTGGAGTTGCAGTCACATGTACTATCCTGGTAGGTTACTATATTCATTAATTAAACTCATATTTCCAAAAGTGGTTCATGATTTAACGAATTCTATGTTTTATTTGCTTATATCTAAGGCTTGTGTTATCTTTTTCAAAGCACGAAAGACACTCTTTTGGCAATGGCTGCAATGGGGTCTTGTTTGGGTGTATACTACATGATCACGAAGATTGTAAGGAAAATGTCATGTAGGATCTATGCAACCCTCAGAGAGCTCAGCCTTGGTATGATGGAGAAGGAATGGAATGTATCATTCCATTGGAATGGACGATTCCTGAATGAATGTAATTCCTTCAATTTTCTAGAATTTATGAAGAGGAACACTTTTGTTGGCCCTAAAGTTGCTTATGAAACAACAACTGCTTTGCAGGTATAGTTAGATGAATTTTAATAAATTCAACTATATATATGAGAACTAATATCTTGCTCTTTGATAAAACTATTACAATTTTTTTTACTAATTTCCTGTATTTCTTCTTGCAGAATGTATCATTCCATTGGAATGGACGATTTCTTGAGTGAATGTAATTTCTTCCATTTTCTGGAATTTATGAAGAGGAACAATTTTCTTAGCCCTAAAGTTGCTTCTGAAACAACAACTGCTTTGCAGGTATAGTTGGATAAATTTTACTAAATTCAACAATATATATGAGAAACTAATATCTTGCTCTTTGATAAAACTATATCAAAAAAAAAAAGTTTGCTAATTTCCTGTATTTCTTCTTGCATTTGCAGATTTTCTCTTGATATTGACCTTGATGCTCCAAAAATTAGAATTCCTATAAGATTAAATGCCCATTAAAGTATAACAGTCATTTTCGTTTGGATTTTGGTCATTTTATATTGAGGAAAGAGGTATATTTTAACTAATCTTTGGGATATTTTCAGTTCGATCATTGATTTCTGATTCGGTGACCAATAAACTAATCCATTAGTATAATATATAAATGAAAATATAATTTTATTGAAGTATCTTGGTTGCAAACTTTACATATGAATTACATGTGATTCACATGTAAGTTACATATGATTCTATGACAACCTAAAATTTATTCCGTTCATATCGTTAAAAATAAATCAATTCGAAATTTATTTCTGCTCTTGTCAGCAGTATCTCGGGTCTAATTAAATATTCTAAACCCAATACAATCGAGGTTTGGGTCCAAAAATGAGTTTTTCCAAGTCAAAGCATAGCATCCGAGTCAAACTCCCCTTTGAGAGGAGTGTACGACCGCAAATTCGAGTTTACGGTCGTACACCCCCACCCCTCCCCCTTGACAAAAAATTATACCCTATATATAGGGTATATGGCCTTCATTTGTTACTTTACACTTCAAAGGCTTTCTCTCTCTACTTTCCCTCTCTACAACAACAAGTTTGCTCAAGAAATCCTAAAAAATGTAAGTGATTCCTTCCTTTGGGTGTTAATCCTTCTTATATCCATGATTTACTCTTGATTCATCCATGGATTTCACCTTTTTATCTAGATCTTCAAGAATCCTCTAGAACACCTTAGTGTTTTGGACCAAAAACACATTTCTTTGCCTTCAAATCGTAAGTACCACCCCCTATACTTATATCTAGTTAGGATTCTTGTGTTTTTCCTTGAAATCGTCACTTTTCTATGAACAAAATGTGTTTACGGTCTAGTGTATCTCTTTAGACTGTACACCCTTCAATGACCGTAAAATCATGAACCTTAAACCCATGGACTATAAACCCACATACTGTAAAACCCATAGACCGTAATCCCACAGAACGTAAATCCATGGACTGTAAACTCATGGACCATAAACCCATGGACCGTAAACTCATGATTACGATCGCAAACTCCCTTCTTCAATCACATGTGGTTCTAACACTTAGTTTCAAGTGTTTCCTTGTACCTAAGGTGGTTTACTTCCATGAAAAAAATAGTGTTATGCCCCCATCTAATACATGTATGTGTCACCATATGTTAATAGGGTCCACTTGAGTACGAAACATTAGTTAACACTCAGCACTCATCCGGATCGTACACTCAAATCCTACATTAAACAATGAGTTCATACCCCTACGTTTTTCCAAGTTTTCATGTTTTCAGGGGGGGATACAAGTAAAAGTACAAGGAAACTTGTGCTCAAAATATATTATTTTGTCTAAGATAATTATATTTTCAGTATGATTTTAACGTGGAAAACAGTTTTACCAAACGATTGGGAAATAAACTCGTAGAAACAGTTTTCAAAACTAGGGTAACTAACTTGTGAATTGCGTTGTAAAATATACCGCTTAACAACTCTTATGCATGCATTCTTTTAAATTCTGGTGTGGAGAGAAGTTTTGTCAGTCATGCATTTAAACATCTTCTCAAACATAAACCTCAACTCTTAACCGAAATATTTACCGTAGAGATGGATAACGGTGAGAAAGAGAGAACTAACGACATATTTGTAGGTTGTACCCTTACCTTGAACGATCATTCATTTCCCATTGACCTTATGCCAGTTTCCATAAAAAGCTTTGATGTCATCATCGGCATGGATTGGTTGAGCCCCAATCGTGCTGATATCCTTTGCTACAAAAAGCTATCCGCCCCAATCTTCCCTCTGGCGAAGCCCTCATGATTTATGGTGATAAACTCAGTTCAAACCTCTGCATCATCTCGTGCATCAAAGCCTAGAAACTTATGTGAAAGGAGTGTCATGCATTCCTAGCCTATGTCATTAACGAGAAGCAGGAAGTTAAAGACCTTGAGAGCATCCCCGAAGTCTGCAACTTTCCTGATGTCTTTGCCGAAGAGCTTTTGTGAATTCCTCCTAAACGCCAAGTCGAGTTCCACATCGAATTAATCCCCGGAGATACCCCTGTAGCTAAATTGCCATACCACATAGCGCCAGCAGAAATGCAGGAGTTATCCAGTCAGCTCAATGAGCTACTCAGCAAAGGATTCATTAGACCGAGTTCCTCCACCTGGGGAGCCCCGATTTTATTTGTGAAAAAAAGGATGGATCTTTTCTGATATGCATCGACTACCGCAAACTAAACAAACTCACCGTTAAGAACCGTTATCCTCTTCCTCTGATCGATGATCTCTATGACCAACATCAAGGAGCCAGCTACTTCTTGAAAGTAGACCTAAGATCAGGGTACCATCAACTGTGAGTCTACAAGAGTGATGTTCCTAAGAAAACATTTCGGACTCGGTATGGTCACTACGAGTTCGTAAAAATGCCTTTCGATCTAACCAACAAACCAGCAGTATTCATGGACCTCATGAATCGGGTGTGCTGTCCTTTCCTAGACAAGTTAGTTATTGTATTCATCGACGATATACTTGTCTATTCTAGAAGCGAGGAAAATCACAGACAACACTTGAGATTGGTGTTGGAAACTCTTAAGACGGAGAATCTATACGCGAAATTCTCCAAGTGCGAATTCTGGATTCGAATAGTAACTTTGCTAGGTCACGTGGTAAGTGAGGAAGGCATACACGTGGACCCCTCCAAAATCAAAGCGATAGAGAACTGGTCAGCACCGAAGACACCCACAGAACTCCGTCAATTCATGGTTCTCGCTGGCTATTATCGCAGGTTTATCCAGAATTTCTCTAGAATTGCCAAACCCTTAACCACTTTGACCCAGAAAGGTGTACCCTTTTGTTGGAATAAAAAGCAAGACACTGTGTTCCAGACATTAAAGCAGGCTATATGTAGCACACCTATCCTGTCTCTGCTCGAAGGGACGGACGACTTCGTTGTTTACTACGATGCATCCAATCAGCGTTTAGGTTGTGTGCTTATGCAGCGTCGAAACGTTATAACCTATGCCTCAAGATAGTTGAAAGCACACAAAGTCAACTACACAACTCATGACTTAGAGTTGGGAGCAGTAGTCTTCGCATTAATGATATGGAGACACTATATCCACGGAATCAAGTGCACGATCTTCATTGACCATAAAAGCATGTAGTACATCTTCGACTAGATGGAGTTGAACATGAGGCAACGGTGATGGTTAGAGCTACTCAGCGAGAATGATTTCGAAATACGCTACCATCCCAGCAAGGAAAATGTGCTGGTAGATGCCCTTAACCTGAAGGAATGCTCAAGTCGTAGGGTGAAGGAACTGACAATGACCATCCATTCCCACTTATCCACACAAATCAGAGAGGCTCAGCAGGAATCCTTAAAACCAGAGAACATGTCGAATGAAGCCTTAAGAGTAATGGAGAAGAACTTAGAGATCAAGGGAGATAGGGTATATTATTTCATGAATCGGATCTGGACCCCAAGTTTCGGTGGTTACAGAGAGGTTGTCAAAAACGAAGCTCACAAGGCCAGATATTCCGTGCATCCAGGTTCGGACAAGATGTACTTTGATCTCAAGAAACTGTATTGGTGGCCAAACATGAAAGAAGAGATCACTACCTTTGTGTGAAAGTGCCTGACTTGCGCCAAGGTGAAGGTTGAATATCAGAAGCCCTCAGGTCTGCTCCAACAGCCAGAGATACCTGAGTGGAAGTGGGAGAGGATTACCATGGATTTTATCACCAAATTACCCAAATCTCCAAGTGGGTGCGATACCATCTGGATAATAGTCGACCGATTGACAAAATCCGCCCACTTCCTACCAATCAAAGAAACCTTCAAGATGGAAAGGCTCACGCGAATCTACATTTAAGAGATAGTTCGGCGGCACAGTGTGCCTGTGTCCATTATCTCCGATCGAGATAGCAGGTTCACTTTGAGGTTCTGGGAGTCACTACAGAAAGCTCTTGGAACAAAGCTGGACATGAGTACAACTTATCATCCTTAGACAAACGGTCTGAGTGAGAGAACCATCCAAACTTTAGAAGACATGTTGAGAGCATGTGTCATCGACTTCGGTAAGTCGTGGGACATCCATTTACCCTTGGTCTAGTTCTCCTACAACAACAACTACCACACCAGTATCAAGGCTGTGCCTTTCTGTCACACCCCAAAAACTAAGGCGGAAACATTTTCGGGGTGGACTCCATGTTGAGTATCAAATCCAATGCACATAGTAAGCAAAGTAAACAACCATTGCATTACATATAGAAATTTATATTTGATCAAAAGTAAAGTTGTACAATGTGATACATTTGTATATATATGAACAAAAGCAAGACGTGTCTTCGATGTACTCCGCCTTCGACAAAAGGATCATCGGGTACCATCTAATGCGGACCTGGGAGTACAAGCAATTTGAAAATCAACATAAAGCTGGTGAGTTCATAAGCAGTTTTGTTTCTGAAAATGTATGAGTTTCCTTTTGGTTTCTGAAAATGTTACGACCCAAGAAAATCCCATATTTTCTTATATTTAAAGTTTAGTTATCTGTTATGTTACATGGTTCTGGTTATGTTCAACTGTTATCCCAGGAAAATCCCATATTTTCCTAATGTGAAAGATGTTTACTGAAAACCTGGTTATCCTTGTAAAGAGTACGTTAGTTCACCAATCCAAAATTTAATGTAAAAGATGTACACTGAAAATGTATTAGTTTTAACGTGTATATAA